GACTAGGATTGCTACTAACTTCAGGCAAGACCATGCAAATGACAATAAGAGAAACTGTTACATGAATAGTCCAGGCTGGCTGGTCTCTAAAGTCTCTTTAATTCCCATTAAAGTCATCTAAGATCTAAAACTCTGTGAGTTCACATAGAGTACTTATCACACATATAAAAAACTGTCTTGTTTGTCAGAGAACACACAGAATCACATCTCTCCCAGCTAAGTACTAATCAGGCCCAACCCTACTTAGTTTCCACGATCAGATGAGATCAGGTGCATTCTGAGTGGTATGGACATAGATGACATCTCTGTACCTCATTCCCTGAATAAAGTCAGGGGCAAACCCTTAAACACTAATAACCCCAGCTCCTTAGTCCATCTTTTAAATGACTTATAGCTATCAAATACTCATTCTACCAAATGCTTCATTATAATCAAGAAAAACAGATATGGCAGTTTGCAAAAAAGGTTTTAATTTCTGTATGTGCTTTTCAAAGTTCATTTCAAAATGCACTCACTGTCTTGTTTTGAATTCTTAGTGGCATTTTTCTCTGGGTATTTGGTATGTAGTGATTTGCTAATCAGTGGCATTCCTATATGTACATCTCTGTCAGAATTCCAAAAGAACATTAGCACTGGTAAAACAAAGCCCTCAGAGGTAGGCATATTTTACTGTAAGATAACATTCCCTTTTAGGCATTGTTTGCCATGTGTCTTTGAACACCTAGGAATTGTATTATCTCCTTGCAGCAGAAGGCTTAGTGTTTTCCAATGTAATTATGTGATGAAAGAAAGTATAGTTTGGAGTGCACTATATTGTGCTGCTTATGTTTTTAAATGACAGATTTAATAACAATAAAACAGGTAACTATAAGTAACATACTAGGAGAACAAATTACATCTAACTTAATGTACTGAGGAGTTTCTAGAATAAGTCTTTGTAATGATTAAATAGGATAATCTTAAATCAGCTTAGCTCATTGGGTTTACCTGAAGCAAATCTCTCCTCCTATAAAATGTATTCAATCTAAACAAGACATTTTGGTCTTTAATTTAATGTTTAGAGGTCCAACATCTTTTTCCTTCTTTTGGTTATAACACCATGGTTTCCTTTTGGGAGTTACTTCCTGCCCACTATTTGCAGTCATGTTAATTGTAAATCAAAGTCCCCCGTCCTTACCTGGCTAAGGGGTGAGTCTATGAACCAATCAGATGTTCTTACCCAAGATTTAACTATTAAAAAGAGTTATATAAAGATAGGAAAAATAGAGTCAATTCATCCTCACAGAATGACCTAATAAAACCTCCCACTAGTTTCTGCTACCTGGTTCTTGCTACCTGCATTCCTGGATTCTTTTCTGTGCACACTTTTGCAGTTACTCCTTTGGTTCTATGAGCCACCCATATTTTTCCAGTAAGTCCTTTTTTATTTTTCAAGTTTGCCAACGCTAGCCTTTGTTGTTGCAACTGAAGATCTCTAATTGATATAAAAGATCTTGCACTCCTCTTCAATCTATGTGTTACCTTTCTAAAAAGAATTATACAGAACTTAATATTTTATACTGGTGTATATATATATTATGGGTGTATATGTAACAGATATTTATCCCTTTCCACTGATGTGTGTGTATGTGCATGCTTGCATGCACATGTGCTGGTATGTGAGATGAATACGCAAAGTACCAAGGTTTCATTGGCATCTTTATAGAACTTGATCTTTCCTAATTAAAGGAGGTTGCTAGATTTGAAACAGAAAACAAATATATTCTAAGGAGGTCTTCCTTAAATGCTGTCTCCAGTTCATTGGTGAGTTTGTAAGCCCCATTTTATTTGAATAAGAAGTAAAAAGTCCTCTTATAGCCAGAACTTTGCTACATATTCCTAAAATGCTAAATGCATACTACTCTCATAGTAAATTTCTGCTTGATATTAGAGAAAGTGAGTTAAGTTCTAGTTACTACTGTGAATTCTATTCCTACTATTAGGCAGTGAATCAACATATAAAAAGATGATAGAAACATAACAGTAATAAAATTTCTGGAATATCCACATAGATTTCTTAAAAACCTCATGAGAATTTAAAAAGATATTATAGTCTTGAGTTCTAAAGCCTGGGAAGACTAAGACTTTGGACTTAGTCTTGCCTATGCCACTGGATCATTTTAGATATTCATTTAACCTTTCCCAACTGTGAAGTGAAGATGATAATTTCTTTTTCTTTCTTTTTTTTTTTTTTTTCTGTTGCCTGGGCTAGAGTGCCATGGCATCAGCCTAGCTCATAGCAACCTCAAACTCCTGGGCTCAAGCAATCCTCCTGCCTCAGCCTGCCGAGTAGCTGGGACTACAGGCATATGCCACCATGCCTGGCTAATGTTTTCTACATTTTTAGTTGGCCAATTAATTTATTTCTACTTTTAGTAGAGACGGGGTCTCACTCTTGCTCAGGCCAGTTTCGAACTCCTGACCTTGATCGATCAGCCTGCCTCGGCCTCCCAGAGTGTTAGGATTACAGGCGTGAGCCACCACGCCCAGCCTGAAGATGATAATTTCTTTATCTATAGCATAATGTTACATCAAGACCAAATAAGATGCCCCTCAGGTAGTTCAATAATAGAAAAAGTACTTTCAAATTAAAAGCCTATAAAAATAAACATAAGATAATATGACAAAGGAAATAGAAAATAATGTAACTATTGCATAGAAAGACTTATGTAATTTTCATGAGGGACCCAAAATAAATAAAAGCACTGAAAAGAAGGTTTAAAACAATGATAATCACAACTGTATAAAAGAGACTTATTCAAAAGGCAAGTGTATGAGATGCGCAACCATTTTTTTAACAAGAAATACCCTTTGTGATTGTGTAATAAATCGGAATTAATATCAAACATGTAGTATTTCTTAGGTTCTCCATTAGCTGTATTTTGTCTCACTTAATCCCCTAAACCAGCTAAACTGGGTCCTGTTATCTTCATTTTACAGAGGAGAAAACTGAGACTCAGAGAAATGAAATTACTCGTCAAGGTCAAAAATGATAGAGTTGGGATATTCAAATTTCTTGTGTATGCCCTTCACACATTGACTCTAGGTTTGACCATGTTACTTGTTTTGGCCAATGGCATTTTAGCAAGCATGATATAGCAGAGGTTTAATTAGCACTTGGATTTTGGGGGGTTGTCTTCTTTGTAATACATTTTTTGGAACCCTGAGACTACCATGATAGGAGGAGCCCAAGCTGACAGTCAGAAACAAGACTCCAAACATACACCCCGGTTGAGCCATCTGCCAGCCCCCAGATATTTAAGCCACTTCAAGTGAGGCCCCAAACATCACGCAACACAAAAAAGTCATTCTCATTGTGCATTGCCTAACTGTGTTACCCTCAGAGTCACATGTATATAAAATAGTTGTCCTCTTATACCACCTAAGTTTGTAGTGATTTGTTATATGACAATAGATAATTGATATTTTACTTAGGTTTGGTCTAAAGTTTGAATACTCTTTACTCTGCAATATGCTGTCTCAAATTACTGAACTTTCCTACATATACTCAAATGAAGTTCAGTATCTTATTTTGCAAAGACATGAAATAAACTCTTATTAAAAAGTAAAAGAAGCTTCTGCATAGCAAAGGGAACAATAGAGTGAGGAAACAATCAACAGATTGAGAGAAAATACATGGGATAAGGGGCTAATATCCAAAATATACAAAGAACTTAAACTATTGAATAACAAGAAAACAAATAACTATTAAAAATGGGCAAAGGATTTGAATACACATTTCAGGAAGAAAATACATTTAAATATGACTATATTATAGATTTTTTAAAGTAAAAAAGAAACAAACTTCTATTTGACCAACACACACACACATACACACACACATATACACACAAAACAAAGAAAAATCCCTCTTGTCTGGTTTGTCTAGCCAAGTTGAGTATCCTTTCCCTCCATTTCTTGTGTCTTCTCAATAAAATCCCTCATCAGATAGAATAAAAGTCTGATTGCTATAGCTAGGACTTCGAGCACTAACGTTGAATAGAAGTGGAATAGTGGGCATCCTTGTCTAGTTCCGGTTCGAAGTAGGAATGGTTTCAGTTTTTCCCCATTCACTATGATATTGACCATGGGTTTGTCATAAATGGACTTGATAATTTTAAGGTATGAGTCGTCTATGCCTATTTTGTTCAGAGTTTTTAATCATAAAAGCGTGTTGGACTTTGTCAAATGCTTTTTCTGCATCTATTGAGAGAATCACGTGGTCTTTGTTCTTGCTTTTATTTATAAGGTGAATTGCATTTATAGATTTGTGTATGTTGAACCAGCCTTGCGTCCCTGGTCATGGTGAATTATATTTTTGATGTGCTGGTGAATTCTATTTGCTAAAATTTTGTTGAGGATTTTTGCATCTATATTCATGAGGGATATTTGTCTGTGATTTTCTTTTTCTGTTGTGTCCTTTCCTGGCTTTGGTATCAAGGTGATATTGGCTTCATAGAATGAATTAGGAAGGATGCCATCTTTCTCAATGTTGTGAAATAATTTCTGTAGTATAGGTGTGGATTCTTCTCTGTATGTTTGGTAAAACTCTGAAGTGTAGCTGTCAATTTATTATTATTAAAATTTAGTATACATTTACAATGGAATATTACTCAATTTTAAGAAACAACAGTGATATAGCACCGCTTATATTTTCCTGGATTGAGCTTGAGCCCATTATCCGAAGTGAGGTGAAACAAGATCCGAAGAATGGGCTCCACATGTACTTGCCATCAAATTGGTACTGACTGATTAACACTATGGTGCTCACATGGTGGTGGTGTCCTCCAGTGATTAGGGGGTTGGGGGGAGACTCACAACTGAGGGATGCAGTGAGCATTGTGGAGGAGAGGGGCATACCTCTAACCCTTGCTAGGGAGAGGCAAAGATATAAAATGTAACCAAAATGTTGTTCTCTCATAATTTCCTGAAATAAAAAAAAAGTCTGATGATGAAGAGGTAACCATTAGGAAGTGAAAATGGGTGTTATTATTACCACCACGTGTATTTGTTTGCTTATGTTTTTGGTTTCTCCAGGAAACTGAAAGATCTTTGGAACCATGGACTGTGTCCTCTCTTGCTTGTTCATCACAATATTTCTAGCGCCAGGTACAGTATTGAACAACCATAGAACTTATTAAATGTTTGTAGCAGGAACCATTAACTTTATCTCAGGGTCAAAATCAGTTGCCTTAGGTGTGATGGAAACATTTAGCTCGGAGGAATGGCACAACAAGAAAGGAGAGGAATCAGAAAGGCAAGGAACCATGTACCAGCTTGTGGCTTAGAGATACCCTTACTCATGTGATGTATTCTGACATCACTAAAAACATTGTGTCCAGAGAAAAAAATAAACACTGTAATGTAGTATACATCTGTTTCATATCAAAATTTAAAATTGTGCTGATTTTGTGAATGACAAATGGCCTACTCTATAGCCGCAAATTTTAGTTTTCAAGCCATCACTCTGTGACTGTCAGCATTTTGCCTTTTCATATTTTAAATATTGTATTGTGTATATGCCATGAAATGTAAACTTTGGAGGTCAGAAGAGAAGCATTACTTCATTCTTTTTCTTAAATGGGAAATTGTAAAGCATTTTGAAACACTGTGATAAACATCCCAGATGCAGTTCAAGTTTGCTATCTGATTGCTCAATTTCACGAAATCTTATGGAGCCAGCTGACCAGTTGTTTAAAATTCAACAGTACGTTGTGAAAACAAGATATCATCATTTGAGACAATCTTAGACAAAGTTATAAAGCAGGAGAATTTGGCTTTCAGAAAATGCCACCTTCTCCTTATTACCTGAACCCATTTTTCAGTACTCTCTTCTTCCTTCTATGCTGATCTTATTTAACAAAATAATCAAACATACTAATCTGGCCATTTCCTCATTTATTTAAAGTGTTCTAATTCCCTTTGACTCCTTACAGGATAGAATCCAGCTTCCTTATCATGATAAACAAATTTTGTTTTTGTGACCTGGAACCTTCTTAGGAATTTGCCAAAGTATTTGATCTATTTCTGAGTTCACTGTTTCTTTTGTTCTACACTACTGGGGTTCAAGGAGGTCTTCTAAATAGCACACTTCTCATCCAAGTCTGAACTGATTGAAAATGACACACATAAGGCATATGGGGACCAAAATGTGACCTTTGTTGCCAATAGAGCTGACATTAGAAAAATTCCCCTCTGGTGGACTAGTGGGCTTCCTAATACCAGTTCCCAGAATTAGATGGTTATACTAACCAAGTTATGTGCAGTACTGGATGAAGGCATCCCCTTCCCCCACTTTTGGTCTCAGTGTGCCCAGACAGTACCCTATGGAGGTGCACAGCACAAGGTACTTTCCTATAGCAACCTGGCCCCCAAGCAGAAGGTGAGAGGAAGGGGCTGACTTACAAACAGTCTCTCCTTTCAAGTTTTTCAATCTTATTAAGTCACTCTTCCTTAGACGAGTACTGAGTGATCTGGGGGTAGGGTGGGGTGGGGTGAGGAAGGCCAGGACTGCGATGCAAGTGGAAGATGCTCCATATGGAAGGGGACATAAGGAGTAGAGGAGAAGCATCCCCCTAGTTAGATGGGTTGAACTTGTTCTGGCTTCGCTATTCCTATTGCCAAAGCATGGAGTTCTTTTAGTGAGAATCTATTTTTAGACTCATGGTAAACTCTTTATTGCTTGTATGCCTTAAAACATCTTTATTTTTTTTCTCACTTTTGAAAGATTATGTAGTCTGGTGGTTTTCAGAAAAGAGTTTCAGAAGTTCCACAGATCTTCCTCGTGGCTACTGTGGTGGGAAAGGAAGGGGAAAGTATAAAGTTAATGGGGATCCAGGTGCAACCTTCCAGCAATAGCTGTCTGTCTTTCTTTCTTTATATGTTGCGTTTTTGCGTAATATTGTTTAGCATAAAGGATCCTATCAATGGATAAAGCTTGAAAGATGTTATTGTAACCTCATCTTTCTTACAATAGTAATAATAGGAAACACTTAAATAGTACTTATTATGTGCCAAGAAAAACCTTAAGTGATGATATGTATGTATATATACACAGAGCAATTTATATACTCAAGACAGTTATGAAATAGTTATAATGGTATCTCCCTTTTATAGATGAAACAACTGAGGCACAGAGAACTTAAATACCTTTTTGAAATTATGCAGGTAGTAAGAGGTACAGCCGACTTGGACTCCAGTTTTCTGAATTCAAAGTGTATATTATAGACAATTACACCACTGTGATTTCTAGAAAGTTAGAATGAATCCTACATTTAGATAGTGGAAGGGGAGAAAAAAGAGTGTAGATTTCCTGATTTTCCTGCTAGACTTTTCCTACTATACCACCACATCAGTTTTCAGAGAGACCACTCACTCTGTGTTCATGTAGTGTTGAATCTGACCAACATTGTGTTCACTGGTGCTGACATCCTTAATTTAGCAGAGATGGCACCAGACTTGGATATTCAACATCCTATTTGATTTCACCTGTTGGATGACTCACAAGCATGTCAAACTTAGGAAGTGCCAAACAGAACTTGTGATTCCACACCCCGCAAACCTGTTTGCCCTACTCCCATCTTCTTTCAGTAAATAGCATCATCATTTTGTCGGTTGCTCAAGCCAAAACATGTTCGTCATCTTTAATTCCTTCCTCTCTTCACCTCCCACATCCAACCCACCAGCAAGTCTTCTGGATATCAACCCCAAAATACAGCTGGAATCTATGTAATTCTCTCCAACACTGCACCACACTAAGAAAAACAACACAGTAGCTATTACCATGGATCCCCTTTCCTTTATCTACCAAACACAGAATGGGTTCACTTTATATACCATCTGTCTTTTCAAAGATCTACACTTAATATACTCATAATAGTACTCTATCCAATATTTTTTCCTGTTTTGTAACCCTATGTTGTGAGAAAGAAATTAAAACATCACATCACAAACATCTCAAAAACTTACCCTGAAAAATCACATTTCCACAAAAATTACTTTTGGAAAGCATAAGAAATTGTAAATATACACACACTACAACTGTGTCATCCCCAATTTATTTTATGCTTGATCTAATTTCTAATTCATATGGTGGCAAAGTTGTTATAGACAGAGTAAGCCATTTAGGCATATTTTATGGAAATTTGCCGCAAAACCCTTTTGCTATCTGTTTCAGTATTTAACTTTTCAAGATTTGTTATCAAAATATATACTTGGGAAAGTTTAATTTCAAACAAAGTACTTAAGCTGTATTGAACTTGTTTAGTTTAGACATATTTTAATCTTCTTGTTATTATATTGGCATGTTACAATTAATGGCCTATTTGAAATTCCATTAAATCTTCTATTATCAGAGGTTTATAACTGCAGCATAAAATTTTTTCTCCAAGCTGAAACTTGTTATACAAAGGTCTCAGCCTAGAACCAATTAAAAAAATTAGTCATTAAATAGTTTGTCTTTGAATGCAGACTTGTCATTTTCATTAATTTTTGGACTAAGCTGTTTAGCCAGGTCTATACTGCTCCATGCTAATATTCTAAAAATTGTTTTTGAAATGTTCATAGAAAAAGTCATGAGAACTACAGGGTTATATTTTCTCATTTTAGACTGGGGAATGATATGGCTCTTTATGTCTTTCTTATGCCCAGGGTTCCTCCAGTCCTATGTCCCTCTGCTTCACCATCACTGTCATGTCAGCCCCCATTCCTCCTCGAAGGTTGAGAAGGACTCATTGCCTGTCTGTTCAGAGTGAAGAGGGGAATCTTAGTCAGACTTTCAATGAATCTTCCTGTCTTCAGTTCTACATTTTACCTTCCATTTTTAGAGGCACCAGGCATCACCAATTTCTAAGCCTTCTTGGGTTTCTGCGATGAAAATCAAATTGCATCTCGGTTAAGTTGATGGGATGATGAAAAGCCCAGCTACTTGAGTCATGTCTGGGCTGTACCACTCACCTGTTAATCTTACAGCCACTTATTTAACTTCTCTGAGCCTCAGGCTCCCCATCTACAACATAGGGATCACAAACTGTCCAGAGGTTTTTGCGAGGATTAAGCAAATTGATGAGGATGAGATTGAAAAGATAACAGAGGGGCAGATCAAGCAGGACATGACAGGCCATTTTAAGGAGTTGGCTTTTACTCCAAGAGAAACGGAGAGCCATTACAAGGTTTTGAGTGGAAGGTGAACAAGATCAATTTTTTTTTTTTTAAAAGAAAACACTAGAGGTTTCTACCATTAAGTTTTTCTGACAGCTGAAATGTTAGAGAAGGAGAAGGGTCAGTGTTGATTCCAAGGGTTTTGACCTTTAGCAAGGATGGAGTTTCTATCACCTGAGATAGGGAAGGCTGTGGGTGGAATAGTTTTGCAGTGAAGGACAGCAGGAGTTGTGTTTTGCTGGCCTGTTGGACATCCAAATAAGGTGCTGGAGAGAGAGTATTAGGAGCAGGAATTAGAAATTTGAGAGTCTTGCATAGAGACTGTGTTTAAAGCCATGAGAAAGGAGGAGATCAACAAAGGAGCGGGCATAAAGAGGAATGAGCCCTGGTGCACGTTGACACCTCAAACTCAGGATAAAGAAGAAGGCCAAGAGGAGAAGGGGGCTCAGCAAGGTTCAAAGAAACCAAAAATGTTGTCTTAGAAGGCAAGTGAAGAAAGTGTACTGAAGAGGAGTGAGGGGTGAACTGTGTTTAGTGTGGCTGATGAGTCAAGTATGATTAGGAGTGTGAATTCACCACTGGATTTAGCACAGTGGAAGTCACCTTAGGTCTTGACAAGAGCAATTTACATGGAGGCTGTGGGGAAAAAGTAAATGAAGTGATTTTAAAAGGTAACAGAAGAAGAGGAATTAGAGACAGTAAGGTAGATACCTCTAAAGGAATTTTTCAGAACAGAGAATAAAAGTAATAATTTGCAGGGGTCAGGGGTCAAGAAAGCACAACCTATTTGCATGCTATAGGGATCAACTCCCATGGGCAGAACTCTGGAATGCAACAGTCTATTTCTGGATGCAGAACTTTCACTTATACAGCATATCCTCAAATAGTGTCATTTTGTTCAATGACATTTTTTTGTAATGTCCATAAGAAAAAAAAAATCAATCCCCAGC